ATAATTGAAAAGTTTTTTCTTCCTACATGAAATTTTTATTGAGTACTTTTATTTGATAAAAAAAATTTTAATTATAATTTATATAATCTGTTAAATTTTTATTTGAAATTTATGTTTAACAAATTAAAAGCTTAAATTAAGTTTATTAAAAATAAACAAAAAGAGTAAAAATTTAAAAATTGACATTAATTTTAGTACTATTGCAATATATATGAATTCAATTGGATAATTAATAAATTAAATGCCAAATTTTATATTTTTAATATAAATTAATAACAAAAATATGTATTTATACATTCTTAACATGTCCTCATATTGGGTTATTAAGAAAACATGGTAAGAGTGTATAAATATGTATTTTTATTATTAATTTATATTAAAAATATAAAATTTAACTTTTAATTTATTAATTATTTAATTAAATTTATACACATGGTATTAACACGAAAATTCATATCAATTTTTATATTTTTACTCTTTTCATTCATTTTTAATAAACTTAATTTAACTTTTTAATATTTCAAATATGAATTTAAGATAAAAATTTAACATATTATATAAATTATAATTAAATATTTTTACCAAATAAAAGTACTCAATAAAAATTTCATATAGGAAAAAGACCTTTTTCACTTGTTATTTATATAACTTGTTAAAATTTCATTTGAAATTCATATTTAAAAAGTTAAAAAGTAAAATTAAGTTTATTAAAAATAAACAAAAAGTATATATATTTATGATAAAAAAATGTTATAAATTTGCATCCTTAGATTAAAAAGGCATTTTTTATATTTCCATGCATAGATAATCAACATACAGTTCTTCACCTTTTTAGCATTTTTTTTATTTTCCTAATTTATAGTTGTTTTTTCGTTTGATTTTAATTAATATATAAAAAGAAAAAAGGGTTTTTTTTTTTTATTTCATGAATTTTTTTACGGACGCAAATTGGCATCGAAGGTGGTGGATCTTTTGATTAAAGAAAGGGTTAAAGTAATAAAAACAATAGCAAAAAGAGATATGATTTAAAACCAAAAGATAAAACTATTGACTCCAACTAAACCCCAAGTTTGCAACACATGTGACAAAAAAATAATAAAAAATAATTTTAACTGCTGACCATGGTGCAATTAACGGTCTAAATTAATGGATGTAGAAATGGCATCAAGAAAAGGATGACAATAAACAAAATAATGGAAGTAGAGGGACAACATTTGGTGTGATTTAGAAGTAGAGGGATGACAATGAACAAATCTGTAGTAATTTAAAAGTAGAGGGATGATCATTGGCTTTAACCCATTACAAAAAAAATTTTCTTGACTTCTTTTATAAATACTTTAAAAAAAAAATAATAATATAAATAAATAAATATATAAATTGTACCGCCAAAGAAAATAAAGTAACAATTCTTTTAGACAAAAGAGTGGTTATGAAAATCCAAGGGCGTCTCTATGAAAAAATTTGCGAAAGGTGCCCCACAATAATATATAGTATGGAGGAGTACCTTTAGTGGTTATTGAATAAACATAGAAGGTAATATTCAAATAATAGTTCCGGCCAGACCAGTAGGACATTAGACAAATACCAAAGAAAAGATAAAGGCATTAGACGAATTACAATCTTGAACACCGAACAGAAAGTTAATTAACAATACTTTTGAAGTCAAACATTATATATGGTTCTAGCTAGAAAAGATAATTACGAAACACCAACAAACATGAACACAAAAGTTCAAGCGAATTTCTTGATGTTGGATATAACATCTGGCTTGAATTCAATTATTAATGTATCATTCACGAGGAAACCTCTTGATGGGCACTGAAGATCTCTCAGCGGCATGAAGTTAGAGCAACACCAACAATCAAATATGCTAAAAAACCACGCAGCATCTGCAAAAGGAGAGGAAAGAGTATCTTTTATGAAATCCTCATATAATAATATGGTTTTTTTAACATGTGCTTTTAAAACATAAATTAAGAATTTTGAAAAAAAAAATATTAATATTTAATTTATTATTATCCAAAGAACAATAACTTTGAAAATAATGTTAATTTTTATATTTTTTTATACATATTTATGACAAAAAAACACTTTTAAGGCACAGGTCAACACCAACAATCAAATATGCTAAAAAACCATGCAGCATCTGCAAAAGAAGAGGAAAGAGCATCTCTTATGAAATCCTTATATAATAATATTAGACGATGTTAACCTTGGTAAGCTGTAAAGAATCTTCACCTGCTAGAGAATAATGTTTGTTATTAAGCTGGTCTTTTACTAGGATCATGAACTGCGCACAAATTTTTCGCCCTCCTCGAACGCATTCAGCATCAATTAAATTCAGAAGGAGCGAAAGGCTTTCACCATCACTACTTGAATCCCCCTTTGGGTAGAGAGATAACGACCTAATTAATTAGTTGATCATCAAGAGAACCATCGTTATGAAAATGCCAAAAGCAGACCTGGATGAAGAATATAGAATTTTAGGAACAAAACAAGATCATGTATATGGCATACCATTCCAGTCCGCCAGCAGTGAAAGTTCCTGACTCAATCACTTCCTCGTCCAAGAGGGAAAATTTGTCAATTTTCCAAGTGAATCCCTCATCTTTAGTATTCAACATTGACAAACACTCACCAACTCCAAAATAATTTTCATTTTCTACATACACTTCTGCTCCAAATACACAGGTATCTCCCACAAGATATCCATTACAAGCATCAGCGAAATCTTTGCGCGAGAGTAGTTTTGAAAATCCCCATTCAGTTTTCCTTGCATGAAAACGTCTAGCCTTTGCTTTAGAATCTTAAATACAAGAAAGAAGAGAAAGGGACGAAATATGAATTATATGTTACCACGTACAGCATTTTAGCAGCATCCATCATCTACTGTCATGCCCCAAAAATAAAAATAAAATAAAAAGAAAAACACTGATCAAATTAAGAAACTCTACCATCAAAGACATAATACTTGGCTCCAATTTGATCGTACACAAAAAGTTTGAAATTGACATCTATCATCCATCCAAGAGGTAATTAAAGTGTTAGTTTCAACAATCATCAAGTAGAGAGAAATGTTCCCATCTCCATGGCCATCACTTCCTTTGCCACCATTAGGGTCAAGAGACAACTTCCTTTTACATAACAAACTACACATTCATCAGCCAACCTTGCTTCAAATTAATGCAAAATAGCTGTTCCATTGCATTATAACTAAACAAATTAAGAGACTGACCAGTTGTAGCCCCCTGCTTTGAAAGCTAGGGATTCATATCGTTTCTCAGCAGTGATTTGAAGTACCTGACACAGCAGTGAAAATGATTCTATCCTCAACATATAGTGTGCCGGTGGATTGTCTCTCGTCCAAACGGAAAATTCTGTTCTCGTCAAATAATTAACTTCAGACTATAATGACCAACTAAATCAGATTAATAAGAAAAGAAGAAATAATTAAATCCATTTATGCTCCAACATTTATTCCAACTTTTTGTATACAGGTGAATCTGCAAAGTTGATAATTAACTTGAATTATAGATAAGAGGGGGGAAAAAAAAAGGAAGAAGAAGAAGAAGTTAGGAATTGCCAAGAGTGTCATCACCCTCAGAGCTGCAGGAGGAACGACCGCCGTCTACCTTTACCATCACCATGGAGCTTTCTGCTGTTGCTTCCACCTGCAATATATATGGAAAGCAGAGAGACTTAATATCTGTGGAGGTTAAAGAGAATCCAGAATTAATTCCAAGAAGTTGGGATTTGAGCATCAAGCCTTTGGGTTAAACAATGGACCTTTTTACTTTTTTCGACGGTGAAATCCACGGTTTATATGGAGCAAAGCTTTTGATCTTCTTGTATACTGGTACCAGACAGGAGTCCAACAATTCTGTGTGTCATCAGACAAAAAATCGATGAAAATTTGACCCCTAATGCCAAACAAAATTAAGTTGTCATGATATTCATCAACTAGAAAGGAGATAATTTCATAGAACCTATCAAAATCAAACCCATTTATTGGGATTCCATTTTCCATCCTACTAAGTAGATAACTTTCAAGTAGGATTGAAGAACGTTAACTTTTTACATGAAAGAATCCCCTACTTTTACAGGATATATGATGAATGCCAATATTGGGGTAGCTAATTGCTTTAACATTTTTGAAGCCAATGCAAGATCGATTAAAAAGAAACACAGAATTAATATGTATTAGGATTGACTGAAATCATCAACAGAGGGAGGGGGAGTACCAAAAGAGTAGCAGTAAGCTTACCTTGGGTTTGCATGGATGTTTGCAGGTATGGCAATGTTGCCCGCTGCTTTTATTTTGGTGAAGAAACTTGGAGGGGAAGGGAAGGAATGGAACTGTCACCTTTATTGTGAAAAGAAAGAGAAAAGAAAAAGATTACTCAGTGATTGACTTTCCATTAGGAATCAAAAGCTTAGCCCTTAAGGACTTTGAGGATTGGGGAGGTAGTGGGGGCGCTGATAGAGTTTGGGTTCCACAAACAAAAGCAACATTGAATTCCACTCAATCATTTTTGGGCCTGGTATAGGAGAGTCTCCTCATCTTTGTTTAAGTAAGCCTTTTTTTTTTTTTGG